AAGGTGCCCATTCTTCTCACAGCCTGGCATCCCTGTTGTGCAGCCAACCTTGTAGATGCTGACCCAGAAGGGAAGGGTTGGTTGGACCTCCTGGAGAACAAATTCCATACTGCACTCTTCAGCATCCTCTCCTTGTTCTGGGTGCCTGCTGTACTGGCAGTCATGGGTCATGCTTTCACTGAGCCAATTTGTCCCCACTGGGCATCTGGACCTATTTTTTACTGTTTTCCCACTTGCTCTGTCTTAGACCAGCATGTGGCTGGTTCCTACTCAGTCTCAAGCAGTAAACAGAGTGGTCAAGTTCCTCCTATCAGCAGATCCTCTGTCATGACAGCCATTGCTGGCTCACACCTACCCCCTCCTACATGCTGTCTCACAGTTCAGTCAAGTTTGGCCTCCTATGGCCATAGCACACACTCTAGTCACGCTCTATGACCTCAAGTTCCACATAGAGCAATCTCAAGTTTGGGGTGCACCCCTTAGTCATCCCCTTTCTGTGGCCTCCTCCACCCCTACAGCTACAACCTGGCCATCCGGGAGAGAGGGGGGAGGGAAAGGGGGAAATGAAACCCCTGAAGTGCAAGCACCAATCCAAAGGAATTGTCTGCACGGGGTTCACTGCAACCCTTGGTGGTGGGCTTCATGTAGAAAAACCACAACAGAAAGTGCCTAGGTTACTTGACTTGCTTCCTATGCAGGTCCCAGCTTCCCTTCACTCTGGGAGTCCTCTCTGTCCTCCAGAGCATCTTGCTGAGGTTCTGGCTGCACTATTCCCCTCACCTCTTCCTTTATACACTCCTCATCCATGGCCCCACCAAGTCCCGGGATCTCCTGCTCAACCTCCTCCTGGCCCTGGTCAAGTTGGCCATGTACCTGATCAGAAAGGAGGCCGCAGCCAGGCGGGTTCCTGGGGACTGTGGGGCTGCTTTCCTTGCCCTACTTCACTCCCGTCTTCAGGCAGAGTATCACTGGGCAGTGTCTGCTGATTCCCAGGACTCATTTGGGGGCCAGCGGGCGCTGTCCAGTGTGCTCTGCTTGGTGTCTCCCCTTGGCACTCTTGTTATGAACCTCTGACTTTCACTTCTGTCCCTGTTTTTTTTTTAATTATTTGTCCCCAGTAATCAATTGCCATCCTTTTCTGTAGCCTTCCTCTCTATGGGAGGCTAAGATGTTATGTGGTGGGTCTAGGCCCATGCCCCTGCAGGCTGACAAATAGGAGTACTCTCTGTAGCCTAGGCTCCTGTCCTCATGCCTCTCACAAAGGGTTTTGTCCTCAACAGCTTCCACAGACAGACTGCCCCCCTGGCCTGAGTCATGGGCATAGATGGGGCTCTCTGGGTTACATGACTCCTCCACTTCTCCCTGGGCCACCAGGCTCTGCTTACACCTGGACCTGGAAGCCATCTTGCAGCAAGTTCCCCTGCCTGGGTCCCCTGGCTCTGCACCTGGACCCAGCAGCCATCTTACTGCAGTTCCCCCCCGCCTCTGCGTTTGACTCGGGGGTCACCCCCGGGGCACAGGCAGAGAGAGAGAGAGAGACAGAGAGAGGACCGAGATGAAGTGGAAGGAGGCCAGGGGAAAGGGGGAAGGGATCTCTACCAAGGGAAGGAAGTACTGGTAAACACACAGCAAGATGAGGAAGGAAAAAGTTTAGAAAGGGGAGGGTGGTGAAGGAGGGGGAATGGGCCAGAGGTGTCTGGCCTGCTTTCCATTCTAGAAACTGGATAGAAGCCCCATTAGAGGTGGGCAGGCAGGGTCTCTGGACTCCATGGAGACCAGCCAGGACTCCTGCAGGCAGGGCACGCTTGGCCAGGCAGATGGGATGGGGCCGCAGGCGGGCATGGAGCAGTGTCCGTCTGGGAGTTGGACGGGTGGGAAGGGGCTGGGGCCAGGATTGCAGGACAGTGACAGTGTGGGGATAGGGCCTAGGATACAGCCATGGTCCACTTCCCGCATGTCCCTGTGATGGGCACCAGTTCTGTGGGCAGGGACACGTCGGGAGTGGATGGCGGCTCTGCCCCGGTCCCTGGACTGGACCCACAGTGCCACTGGCCTGTGATCTTGGCCCCCCATAAGGCCAGCATGCAGCATATCCATCTCTCAGTGCACCCTGGTCTCAGGATTGAAGAACTTTCCCCCCACTGCCTCTATGTGTGCCACCAAAGTAGGCAGGCATTGTGATAGAAACATGCTCAGGCACATATTTTCAGCTTCCAACAGCTCCTAGGTAATCCTGATAAGTGGAGAAAAGCAAACAATCTTCTTTGCATGATGGGTCACGTCCACATTGCTCATCCGCCCACAGCATGGCATGTTCAGTTGTTAGCACTGCTGCAATCCAGAAGGAAGAAATGTTGTTCCTATTACAGTATATTATTATTTGGAAGCTGAGCCAGTGATTAGTCTGGGCTCGTTACCAGCAGCACTTGGCTCTGGTGTAATATTCTCATGTGTCATCCTGGATTGGAGGCTGGTCCTTACTCTGAAACAGTCTTTCTGTGAGATTATATTCCATAAGCCTGGGTGCTGAAAAATGCTACACATTGTTCTTATGTGAAAATCAAAGAGTGACCTGTGTGTTTGACTTGCCAAACCCTCCTACACAAGTTCAGAATGTCACTGAGCCGTCTGCCAATTTGCCCCTCAGCCTGTCCTCTGTCACTCTCATTCTCATGAAGGTGTCTGTCTCTCCAAATGCTATCCTCAGTTAAATTTAAAATGGACCAGATGCTATGTTGCCTGGGCTCAGGCTGGCCCATAAGAAGTCCATTTAAGAGGCTCATGAGAAATGGCCTCTTTTCATGGCAAATCCCTAGAGCTAACAGGCCTGGCTAGAGGTATTCCACTTGTCCTATAGGATTTGATCCTTAGCTAGGTGCAATCTGCTCAGGTCACTTTAATGCAGGTATGTTGGATTATACCTGCTAAGAATATGGCCTATCATTTCTCCCAGCTCTAGTGTTCGGTGAGCAAAAGTAACCAAGCCAGAAGGGAATTTGCCCTGCAATCACCTGTGCAGCTGTCATGAAGTAGTAGCTGAGCAGCTCTGTTCATAATTTTCCTTTCTTTTGGGAGATGGCCACTACAGTTGTGTGTCCCGCTGTGCACCTTGGCAGCACCTCTCAGCCACAGAGTGGCCTAAACCTGAGGTAATTTTTTCACTGTTCTCTAACACTCACACATTCCAGACATGGTGCACCCTCTCTGAATGCACATAAGGTGCATAAACCAAACTTCATAAACCAGATTGTCAGGGGAGTCAACCAATCCACGCCTTAGCTAGCAGAAGCCCATGAGAGTTAATCCAGAGTGCTGGTCAGAGACACAAGAACAGAAGATTAGAAAAGACCAGGAACGTGAAGCACCAGTCCAAATGTGCTACCATCTTGAAAAGCAGCCAGAGCTAACATGAGACCTCACAACTCGGGCTTGTGGGAAGATAATGAAAGGTCATCTCCCCATTGTGGGATATGTTTTAGTGGCATCTGGCTTCAGCAAGTCAGTAGTTTACTCTCTCTCTCTCTCTCTCTCTCTCTCTCTTTCTCTCCCACACACACACACACACACACACGTGTTAAAAGGAAAAAAATGCATGGACCTTGGAGCAGAGTTAGAAGGGGGACAGAAGTTGGAGGTGTGCTAAGAAGTCAATCCATGTGCTCATGGATAGTACATGAGCTGAAGCACTTCTGTACTAGTTCTGTGATTAAAGAATTGGTTTAACGTACAGACACAGGCCCAAATTCTACTCTGTCTTCAGAAGGGCAAGTAGTGGTTAGGGCATTTGCCAGAAACACCTGAGTTTTAGGCCCACTTCATGCAGTGAAGTGCCTTGGCTACCAGGAACTGCCCAGAGCACTCTGCAGCCCTCCCTTTGAAGCTGACTCACTGGGTAGCCAGAGGGAGAAGATATGTGCAACAAAAGATCAAGTGAGAGGGTGCATTTCTCAGTGAGAAGGATGTTGCCATGGAAAGGCTGGGGCTGGGTTCTGGTCTCTTACCCTTGCTGGGGCAGATGGTTTCCTACTGCAGTCTACCCAATGACTTAAATACAAGAATACCAATGGGGCAGGAGTCAGGCCACGGGTGACTGATGCTGCCTTAGTTGGGGGGGGGCACATGCCCCCCGTGCGACCAGTCCTCACCTAAGTGGCGAGTGTGGCCAGTCAGGAGGAGCATTGGTGCTCTCAGGGGGACATGTGCACCCCCCACGCATCCCCAGTCAGGCAGAAGAAACAGCTATGTGGCATGCTGAGAACATAGCTAATGCTTCTGCCTGTGACCCTTCCTTCCTCTGTGGCCTTCAGCTTGGGGGAAATCTTGTGACGTTACTAGGGCTCCTGTGGCAGACAAATGCTGGCTTGACAACTGCTCGTCCTGCAGATGGCTCTGGGTAGAAAGGGTTAAGTCCTCTGGAAATGGCTCCCACATCCATATAAGACAGCCAGAGCCCAGCAAAGAGAGATCACACAAGATCAGCCCTGGACGATGCAAGACAGCCTCAAGACACTCCCAGCCCAGGAGCAGGAGGTTGCATCCTGCTCCCCCCATCAGCAACACCAGCCACCAGAGCTGCAGGCTCCTATAGCGTCCATGGCAGCACTGGGCAAGCCCAAGGCCTCAGGGACTAGGCTTGCTGCATGTTTCTCCGGAGAACCTGCCCCAGTCACCGATTTAGGCACCAACAGACGCCGACCGCGTCCTCGGAGCAAAGCCGCTCAGCCCCTGCGCTGGCTCCCGGGAAGGCTCAGTGTCCTGCAACCCCTTACAACGCTGCTTTATTTCTTGTTAAGCTCCGCGCCTGCCCCTGCCCTAGGTCTCCCTTGCCAGAGGCAGCCCTGCTGAAGGGAGGGAAGGGGCTGGTGCGATGCGATGCGACGCGACGCGACGCGCCAGCAGGAGCCGAGTCCCCTGAGCGCCAGGGCGCTCCCGCCACGTGCCCGCCAGCAGGTCCCGGGGGAGCCCAGGCCGGGCGGGGAAGGGCAGGGCAGGTCTGCTTAGGTGGAGCCAGGCTCCGCCCGCCCTCATGCATATGCAGCGGCTCTTCCTATTTCTGCCGCACACAAAGGAAGGAAATCTCTTTCTCTGATCCTTTTCTCTCCTCCCCCCCCGGAGCCCCTACCTCCCCGCCCCGGGCTATGCTGCAGCGACTGTGCGGTGTCCCCGCAGCTCGCTCTGCCGCTGCCGGGCGCTGGGAAGCTGGAGGTTTTCTAGTTTGTTGGGTGGTTTCTTTTTTTTTTTTTGGCTTTTCGTTTCGGATCCTCCCAGCTCTCCCGTGCCTCTTGCAGCAGGCAAGCCAGGCAGCCCTGTGTCATGACTTATGAATGACCGTGACTCAGGGATCGCCCACCCTCCGCGAGGGGCCACTTAGTCCGAGCCGGCAGGGGGGCAGGGCTGGGCTGCGTGTGCCTGCAGAACTGGAGCTCCCTGCTGCAGCGGGGGGTGCTGGACACCACGCCCTCCTGGCCTGGAGTAATCCTGCATGACCATCACAAAGGTAGGAGAGCATTGGACTGGAGCGCAGGATGCACCTGCTGCTAAAAGGCAGGCAAGGTGCTTTGGGTCAATCTGATGTCTTTTATTCGACCAGCTTAAATAGTGGGAAAACATTTTGCTTTGCAAGCGTTCGGGTAGAAAATCTCCTTCCGCAGGCTGAGGAAGCATCTGCAGTTGGTGTGCGCTCTTTCTGGATGGGAGGAATAGTAAAGAAGCCAGAGGCTGGGCTGCACACAAGACAGGCAGTCAGTGAAGATGTAGATTGAGGAGTCAGTGGGTGAGAGACAGGCTGGGTAGGGGGAGAAGGGGGATGAATGTAACAGTTAAATAGTGGAATGGTACCTGGGGGAGTCAGATGTTAGGCAGGTTATATAGAATGTGTCATCAATCCAATGTCTACATTTAGTCCATGATTTTTAGTATCCAGGAGGTTGATGAAGTGAAGTTCATAGGCTCATTTGTGAAAGGTGTTCTGTAAATTCCCCTTGAGGATCAGAACTGAGAGATTGGAGAGAGAGTGGTTTTGTTGTGAGAAATGTGCCCACACAGCTAATTGGGTATTCTTGTCTTTGATAGATTTCCACAGTTGCTGTTTGGTCTCTCATACAAATTTTCCATCAGGGCATTTGGTGCACTGGATGAGATGTATTACATTTCTGGAGGTGCAGGTGTAAGATCCAGGAATGGTGATGGTTCTGTTGTGGGGTGCAGTTATTCTGGGGGTACTGCAGATATGTTAGCAGGTTTTACATGTCTTGTCCTGGCATGGTCTGGATCCATTTGGTGTATTTTGGGCCATAGAAAGTTTGCTTCTGGTTATGGGGTTAGTGAGGTTCAGTACTTGTTTGAAGGCTAGGATGGGTGGCTCTGGGAAGATCTCTTTAAGAATTGAGTCTCCTTCTAGTATGGGTTGCAATTGTTTGAGGATTTTCTGTATAGGCTCCAGGGAGGGGTGAAATGTCATAACCAGTAGTGTGTGGTTCATGGGAGTTTTCCTTCTGCACTGTAGCAATTCTTCATATGGTATCTGGGTGGCTTTTTTAATAGTGCAATCTATCTCTCTGGAGGCGCGTCCTTCTTGAGTGAAAGCATTTTTGAGATTTGTGAGGTGGTAATCATGGGTGTTTGGCAGGGCAGATGGCATTTTTAAGACCTAATCTACCTTTGCAGGCAATTGGAGAAGTTGGCATCTGTGTGCTGTCTGCCCTGTGACCCAGAGGGAAAACCAGCAGCATTCTCTGTGGACTGGCAATGCTTTTAGCCTGTCCAGGTTGTATTTGGTGCGTGCTCTGGGTGTGGGTTGAGCTGTATGCAGCATGCAGTCCCACAGGATGCAGGTATTGATGTCTCCAGCTTTGCCTTGCTTGTGGTGGCAGCATGTTGCTTGCAATCCCTACTGGGTGGAAAGGCAATGGCTTTGGGCATGATGTGTTGCCAGTGGAAAGTGCAGGCAGGCAGCTATGTTGTGCAGCCCATGCAGCCCTAAGGGAACAGCCCCCCTTTTACACTTTTATGCTGTGGTGGTATCCTGACAGTGCTGCATGTAAAGAGGTCTGATGAGAACTCAGTGTCCGGGAGAGGCTGGAGCAGAATCCAAAAGACCTTGGAAACCCATAGCACTGGGGAGCATTACAAAGCCAGTCCAGACAGTGCCATGATAGGCTGAATTTGGGGACACTGGCTCTCTACCTCAGTCTGATATGTGTAGAGTTGAGCAATAACTTTGTGCCCCCACAATAGCTCTTTGGCAGGCTGTGCTAGCAGGATTTGTGCTTTGAAGGGCTACCAGAGCCAGAAGGGGAGAGAGTCACTTTTTACTTGCACTGGGCTGGTGCCACTGGAGGGAGCAGCCCTGTCCCTTTCACTTCTGCCATGCTTTGAGTCCACCACCCTCTGCACCTTGGGCTTCTCGGCAGTCCCAAGGTGGATGCAAAGACAAAACTTCTCCTAGCTGGGCCTCAGGAGTTTGGTCCTCTGCCTAGGGCTGGATGAGATGCAAAAGTGCAGTCACAAAGTCACTGCCTGATGCAGGGCCCCTCTGAGTCTCCGGGAGTATCCAGCACAGAGTATGTGAGTCCTCAAAACCCCACCCCTACATAGACACATACACACATGGTGTCCAACATATGCAGGCACATGGATGTGCAGTGTACACATACACACATGCCTGGGGCTAGGAGCAAGTGATCTTGTACCTGGTTTGTGGAGGGTGGTGACCCCACAGCCCATCATGAGCTCTAGGACTTTCATTTGCTTGTATGTTTGGCACCTCATTTTGACTGTCTTGGCTCTCCAGGCCAAACTCTGTCACGTTCCCTTCCCTCCAGGGCAGACAATCTTGTAGCCTAGAGGTGCTGGATGGTTACTTTCCACAGTTCCTCTGTGCCCTGGGCAGCAGCTTCCTGCAACACGTGATACTGCACTTTCCTGCAGAGACAAAGGTTCCTCTTCTTCGCCAAAAGGCTGCCCCTTCCGGGTTCCAGTCTGCTGTCAGTTGGCCGGCTGGATGGGACTCCAGCAGTCAGCATTTTGATGGAGCCTCTGGGAAGCAGGGCAGTAAGCTGCAGCTCCCAGGCCATGCACTGGATCAGCTTTTACTAGCCCAGGGGTTTTCAACTGGAGGTACATGTGCCCCTGGGGGTACTTCTGATGGCCTCAGGGGGTACTTGGCAGTGGGAGTCTTGTCAACTAGCTGCTGGGGACACCCCCCTTCCCCCAGTCATCGATGTGCCACTGGGGGACCCGCCCCCCCCCCC